TTAGTCATTGCATGTCTCCCTGTATGCATCCTCGGATTTATTTTTACTAATAATATTATATAGGTTTGACCTCATTTTCTCAAATGGGCCGTTATTATGATTCTTTTTTTTATATTGCTTTATAGGATCTTGCTAAGCCAGCTATCGAAATGGCTGATGCTGGGAATTATGTCTTAGATTCACCCGGCACAGATAGCGCTGGGGACAGAGAAGAAGAAGAGCAGGTAGACGCTCTTACGATTGGCTTATCAAGTTGTATTGGCATACGAGCCAATTCCAAATCGCCTCCGCCTGGGAACGATCTTGACTTCCTAAACGGCCGGTATTTGTCTATTTATTTTCTTTTTTACGTTATAGTGTTTTTTTGTGCATGTGTGCAATATCTCCGGATACCATTTCGTTCATTCGACTGCATATAATGCGACTACTTCGAGAGTAACATTAGACCTAGGTCTCTTAAGGGGGCAGAAATCCTGATCATTTAATTTCTCTCAATACAGGGAGTATATGACTTCACAATACCACTGAATTTCACTCAGCCTTACAACTAAAAGGTCTTGGTCGCAGCCCAGGTCTTGGGCGCCAGTCAGCTTTGGTCTCACTATTTTCAAAATAAACCAGGCTTCTCTCGATCCAAATTTTTACAGTCTTACTGCAGTCGATATAGCAAGTGTATGTTCATATTAATAATCTGTAGGTCTTATCAGTAGGTCTTTAAAATGTGCTTTACTCACCCTAAGTCGCACAAAATAAGGAACTTATATTTGTTATTGTACTCAATGACCTCACTATATACTTAGTGCGGATATTTCGAAGTTTTCAGTAAATCTTTTTATGCGAACTAGACTTCATTCCAACTTCATGAATAGATAGACTCATCATGCCATCAAAATTCACTGCCCTTTTTCCAGAAAGTCTCTCTTAGACCGCTTTCTCATGATCACTAATCCGGAGATGACTCATCTAAAGTCATAAATCTTCGCCTCAACCTCACATCAGAACTGCACGTAATGTAGGCAAATCTGGAATTATTTTCACTAGCTTTGCACTACTAAATAGAGATTCTA